TTATGCTGCATAAGCCACACAAACTTTTTATATCTACTGATTCCTCAAGGTGTGTGTGTGTGTGTGTGTGTGTGTGTGTGTGTGTGTGTGTGTGTGTGTGTGTGTGTGTGTGTGTGTGTGTGTGTGTGTGTGTGTGTGTGTGTGTGTGTGTGTGTGTGTGGTCCAGAGCTCCTTCTTTCCCCTCGGGCTTAGCTGTGAATAATCCTCCATCTGTTGGTCTGCACTTCTGCATCTATTTCTCACTTTCCCACGCATCATATGCTCGGACTCTTTTTGGACAAATGGGGGAGGACAGTTTTATATGTATTGATTTTGTTTTTTGGGGCATTTTCATCTGTTTGGTAGCTCCTATTCAACTCACTTACTCCAATTGGTGGAGCTTAGATGTGGGGATAGGTTTTGTAAGATTTTTGATGATCGTTTTGGTCTCTGCAGAATGTGCATTATCATGAGTGTTATCAAGGATGGATCCCAATTGTTAAGGGGAGGCAGTCCAATAATTATATTACTTAATTCACTATTTGCACAATAGTAAGGTGGTGAGGTAATGACAGAGCACCAGACACAGATGTGATGGTGTGTGGAATTGTAAATCAGACAGCAATTTCTACAAATCTCTTTGGCAACCGGCACATACAGTGGGGCAAAAAAGTATTTAGTCAGCCACCAATTGTGCAAGTTCTCCCACTTAAAAAGATGAGAGAGGCCTGTCATTTTCATCCTAGGTATACCTCAACTATGAGAGACAAAATGAGAAAAAAAAAATCAGAAAATCACTGTCTGATTTTTAAAGAATTTATTTGCAAATTATGGTGGAAAATAAGTATTTGGTCAATAACAAAAGTTAATCTCAATACTTTGTTATATACCCTTTGTTGGTAATGACAAAGGTCAAACGTTTTCTGTAAGTCTTCACAAGGTTTTCACACACTATTGCTGGTATTTTGGCCCATTCCTCCATGCAGATCTCCTCTAGAGCGGTGATGTTTTGGGGCTGTCGCTGGGCAACACGGACTTTCAACTCCCTCCAAAAAAATTCTATGGGGTTGAGATCTGGAGACTGGCTAGGCCACTCCAGGACCTTGAAATGCTTCTTACGAAGCCACTCCTTCGTTGCCCGGGCGGTGTGTTTGGGATCATTGTCATGCTGAAAGACCCAGCCACGTTTCATCTTCAATGCCCTTGGTGATGGAAGGAGGTTGTCACTCAAAATCTCACGATACATGGCCCCATTCATTCTTTCCTTTACACGGATCAGTCGTCCTGGTCCCTTTGCAGAAAAACAGCCCCAAAGCATGATGTTTCCACCCCCATGTTTCACAGTAGGTATGGTGTTCTTTGGATGCAACTCAGCATTCTTTCTCCTCCAAACACGTCTAGTTGAGTTTTTACCAAAAAGTTCTATTTTGGTTTCATCTGACCATATGACATTCTCCCAATCCTCTTCTGGATCATCTAAATGCTCTCTAGCAAACTTCAGACGGGCCTGGACATGTACTGGCTTAAGCAGGGGGACACGTCTGGCACTGCAGGATTTGAGTCCCTGGCGGCGTAGTGTGTTACTGATGGTAGCCTTTGTTACTTTGGTCCCAGCTCTCTGCAGGTCATTGACTAGGTCCCCCCGTGTGGTTCTGGGATTTTTGCTCACCGTTCTTGTTTCTCATTTTGACCCCACGGGGTGAGATCTTGCGTGGAGCCCCAGATCGAGGGAGATTATCAGTAGTCTTGTCTTCCATTTTCTAATAATTGCTCCCACAGTTGATTTCTTCACACCAAGCTGCTTACCTATTGCAGATTCAGTCTTCCCAGCCTGGTGCAGGTCTACAATTTTGTTTCTGGTGTCCTTTGACAGCTCTTTGGTCTTGGCCATAGTGGAGTTTGGAGTGTGACTGTTTGAGGTTGTGGACAGGTGTCTTTTATACTGATAACAGGTTCAAACAGGTGCCATTAATACAGTTAACAAGTGGAGGACAGAGGAGGCTCTGAAAGAAGAAGTTACAGGTCTGTGAGAGCCAGAAATCTTGTTTCTTTGTAGGTGACCAAATACTTATTTTACCGAGGAATTTACCAATTAATTCATTAAAAATCATACAATGTGATTTTCTGGATTTTTTTTTCTCATTGTGTCTCTCATAGTTGAGGTATACCTAGGATGAAAATTACAGGCCTCTCTCATCTTTTTAAGTGGGAGAACTTGCACAATTGGTGGCTGACTAAATACTTTTTTGCCCCACTGTAAGTAATGTCATGTCCCTGATTTGTCACTCTTATTAAAATAATGAGAAATGCATTTAACAGATGTCTTTTTTAATATCTTTGGATCGATGCTGCAAAACAAAACTGCATGTTTACAATCTTTAAATATATATATTTTAAATCAGAGAACATCTGTCTAGTCTCCTCACGACAAAATCGACAATTGTTTATGAATGAATGAAATCCTCGTCTCTATTCTTAACTGTAACCTCTCTTTGGTTTCATTTTAGTTTGAGCCAGGCACATCTTTGAAGCCCCTGATGGTGTCTGAATTTCCCAGAATTGGTGTTTGTTGTTTAATATAATCAAGCTGTGTCCACAGCTGGCATTGTCTCGCCGCAGGGTGCAACACTGAAGCCAAAGAAAGAGGCTGCTTTTTCTCTTGTTTTCTCATTTCAAAACACTCCTTGTTTGACACTTTTCCTTTTATACCTAAATGCTTGTGTTTATCTTGTATTTACATAATTTCATGCTGTAAAAATCTCCTTCTATTCATCCTAAAAACTATGCAATAGCACTTTTTAATATTTATTCTGTTTGGTTGGTTGTCTTTTATAACACTTTTTCTATACAATCATTACACATAAGTACTTTGTTTACACAATGTTCTTACTTAAAACACTGTAAACAAACAACAGTTAAACCTTTTGTTAATTATTTGTTCCTTTGAGCTAACATTAACAATTCAAAACATTTAGCTATTCAATACTTTAAACTATATTTTTCAGCTATATTTTTAGCTAATGAACTATTACTTTAAATATTCTTATAGCAATTTTCAATCATGTTTAACAAAATATTAAAACTCTTTACTATTAGCTAACCATTTTAACTTTAAATGTATTACTTTTAGCTAACTGCTAATCCCTCTGCTCCCTTGCAAAGTAGTTCTCACAACCCTCGGTGTGATGGATGACATAACATGTGGATATATAATTTAATCACATTATAATAACAATTGTTCTAAGTGTATTAACCGTCAAACTTCTTACTGCTGAGAATCAGTGCTTTAACACGCACACACAAATAGCCGCAAACACACTTTTATCAGCACATGGCCTTGACAGTGACCTATTTCAGAACACACCTGTCACTACCCCGTAACGACCTTTGACCCTTGTGTGTTGCTTGTTGGGACAGGTCACGGAGCTGGCAGGCTACACTGCAAGGGTGCACAACATGTTCGAGGTGTTTGAGGACGTCCAGAGGGGGGTTTACAAGCGCTCCTCTCTATCATCCACCACAGGAGACGAGAAGAAAAGCAGGCCTGAGATGCACATAGACGGACCGCTGGAGATAAAGGGTTAGCCTCTTCTGCTGTACACACACCTCCTTCTGTATGGAAATTAACTGAAACAGATTCAACACACACACACACACACACACACACACACACACACACACACACACTTAGCTACTGTTGCTATGTTGGGCAAACCTTTACCACCACTGCAGTCTGGAGGATGGGGTGAGCTAGTGGCTTTGGTTGGTTGGCCACATGGCATTGTGTGAACTTAAATAACCCCAAATATACAACATTTATTATCAACCCCTCTCTACACAATCTAACTTAGATATAGTAAGGTACTCATAGTGAACTGTAGCAAAATATACACTTCTGTCCAGATTCTTTTCAACTAGCCAAACCCTTATCTGGGGCAATGTGCATAAACTCAATACATTCCTAGATTGCCAGTACGCAAAGTCAAAGGTTGGAATCCTTGCATAAATACCCTTTGAAAATACCCATTTGATAGAGCACAGTTAAGCTAAGAGGTAAGAGGGATTTCTTTTATTTTTAACCCATAATTCCTGCTATAAACTGTATAATCCCACAGTCTAGCCTCACTTTCTGCTCTACTTCACTCATTCTTTGTCTCTCTGGTTTTTCTTTACAGGTGAAGTGATAGATGTGGATAACGGCATCGTGTGTGAAAATGTCCCAATTATTACACCCAACGGGGACGTCGTAGTGTCTTGCTTGAACGTCAAGGTGAGACAGCTCCCATAATTTAATTTCTCTTCCAACTCCACTTAATATGTCCCATTAACATGAATGGTGTATTCAGCTTTCTGATCCATACTCTGCCACCAGACTCACTGATGGTTGTTTGTTTATGTAGAGTTTATTATCTTTAAAAATAATCCCCTTTGGTCTTTTTAAGAAACACATGCATCCTTGTGGGTGTTACCTTCCCTCAGGATTTTGGCTTCTGTAATGAACTGGAGAGGATATTGTGGCCTCATTAAAAAAGAAAACGAAAGAATCTCTCGTTGGAGTATTGCATTTAAACAGCAGCTGATGCTATCACACCTCAGTAAGGACTGCACTGATCTAGTTTTAACAAGCTTTAGCTATTTGAGGTGAATAAACCTGCTGGCATTTCAATCAGGAGAGACTTCATTTTGTTTAAACAACATTTATTGACACATGTCATATGATAAATGTTAAGTCTTTGTCGATTAGACCCCGATCCTGAAATCGTATATCTAAAGGGGGAAATGCAGCCGTGAGCATATAGGGAACTCCTCGGGGTCTAGACACTGGTGATGATGCTGAAGATCTGGATTTGATGAGGAGATGGGATGAAGAGGAGGTGTGATAAGGTCTTTGGATTAACTCTCCTGGCACTGGATGTGATGAAAGGAGGTGGATGGGGAGGAGGTGGGCGGCAGTATGAAAACCTGAAATCACAGCTGACTGCAGGAGAGAGGAGAACCATTTTAAAGTCTGCAGCACAGTGATTGGCTGCTGGTGAATGTAATGGGTTATAGACAACGCCCGTGATGAGCTGATTATATGCAGCTGCGGAGTGAATGTGTACACCCAGTCTTCCTGAAAGAACTTACGCTGAGCTTCATTGAGCTGGTAGCTTGGAGGAAATCTGTTGACACTGTGCTGGGGGTGGTGGCAAAGTCCATAGGGACTTGGTTTGGCAACTGGAAGGTCACCAGATCAAGTCCCGGAAAGACCAAGTGCTACCGAGGTGTCCCTGAGCAAGGCACCGTTCCCTACACTGCTCCCCGGGCGCCGTACATAATGGCAGCCCACTGCTCCTAACACTGGGATGGGTCAAATGCAGAGAAACCGTTTCGTTACATAGTACCTGTACTACGTAATGACAATAAGTTGAATCTTCATCTTCTTTATGCCCCATATTTAATGACACTTTTTCCATTCACCTAAAGATAGTTTCTTAATTTCTTCAGATCTACGTGGTTACACAATTTTCTTACTATAAACACTGGAAACAAACACAAAAGAGCACACAGCTCTGAGAGATTATAGGCGATCACAGTCCAAACATCAAATCCACTGCAGCAGCTACTTCTAAGTTAGCTAGCTAGCTACATATCGGTATATATGTATATATTCTTACACACTTCAATTAAGTGGTTCAAAATCTTGCTGTTGTAATTGAAAGTTTACCCATTTAAAATATTTAACTACAATATTTCATACATCCATTACTTTAAGCTAACTATTTCACAGTTAGCATTACTTTTAGCTAGCAACTTCAACAATGTATCCTTCAATTATAGCTAATTATTTAAAAGAAAAATATCCTACTTGTAGCTTATTTTTGTTTGTTTATTACTTTTAACTCCAATCAAATAATGAATTAATTACCTTTTTAACTGATATAAAATCATTTATTCATTACTTTTAACTAACTAGCATTTGGCTTAATATACAAATACAGGTAATGATTCATGCAGCTGCACTGTAAGAAACACAAAGCAATAATATGTGGTGTGCCACGTCCCTGTTAGCTGCAGGCTAAATAGATTAATAATTACAACATTTAAACCTGGCTTTAAGGTTTATTATATATTATATATTTATAAGGAAACCGGTAAACAGGAAACATTTTGCCGCTCTTTCTTTGTTGACATTTCAGATCTTCTGTGTATAATGTTGAGTAGTTCAATCCTGTCTTTCAAAGCTTAACACCCACTTTCTATCCCTCTAGGCCTTTAAATCTTAATTATACTGATGTTGACTCATCTTAAATGGGATTAATATGTTTGCTCTCAATCTCAGGTGGAGGATGGCATGCACCTGTTGATCACGGGGCCTAACGGCTGCGGGAAGAGCTCTTTGTTCAGGATCCTCAGTGGCTTGTGGCCTGTCTACGGCGGCCGCTTACACAAACCCTCTCCTAAACACATGTTCTACATCCCTCAGAGGTATACACAAAAACACACACTTTTTAAATATCCCTCAGCTGCTGTACCGAAACAACTGTAAGCTTTGATCATTGTACCAGCGAGCCTAACCTGTAATCTAATCCATTGTAACATGATCTGTGTGTGGTTTACAAAGAGAAACCAGAGCTCTGGCCACAGTGAAATATTTACCACACAGACGAGGCTTGAAATACGTTTAATTACAATAATTGCTTGGTTATACCTTTCACAGACATTCAACAGTGAGTTGAGTGTCGTTAGTGTGTGGATAAAACAATAAACACGTGTCCCCACAGTCCTTTTTTTTGGCCCAATATTAAAGAGTCAGTTAGAATAGATTTAGAACATATATTGAAGACGTAAGAAAGGGTTTTAGTGTGAATGCTCTCAGCTTAACAGGTAAGATTCGTGTAGCCCTTAAACTGAACTGAACCTGTCTTAGACAAATCATCAAGTGTAATCTTACACTTAGAGTTCTGACTCAGGTCACCCCCTCCTGCAGAGCAGTGAATATTTTATACATAGGGTGACGCTAGCAGGCAGCTGTAAAATAATCCAACACCCGAAGACAATAGATCTAACATAAGCGTAATGATTCTCTTTGAAGTCTTGTTTTTAAGTGCCCTTTTGTTCACAAACACCTATCTTGTCCTCTGTTTGGAGCCCTTAATGAAATGAGGGTTAGCAAAGCAACAGTCAGTGGCTAAGGTATGTATGTGTGTGTTTCACCAGGCCATACATGTCAATGGGTACACTGAGGGACCAAGTGATCTACCCAGACTCGGTGGAGGACATGGCCTCCAGAGGCTTCGGCGACAGGGACCTGGACACCATCTTGGACATAGTCAACCTCAAACACATCGTCACCAGGGAGGGAGGTAAGACAGTAACACTAAGGATACTTACCAAGGTGTGGATTTGTGATTCAAGTGAGAATAATATGTTGAAAACGTTAGAAAAGCACAGAAATATAGCTTATAACTTTCTGATGAGTTAAACCTACCTAAAGTAGACAGTACAGTTTAAGAATATGACCAGCAGATAAAATAACCATAAATTAAACAAAATAAATTGACAAAACTAGACAAATTAATCATTGTGTAGATAGAATAAACCAAAAATATCCATCAGACAAATGAACCACAAGCCAGGACAACAAGTTGAATCAAGTCCAAGGATTGTCTCTTATCCTTTCTGTGTTAAAGGCTCATTTGTTTGCATTGTAAATGTTTGCAATGCACCCTGCACATTGAATCTGCAGAGTAGGTTTGCTGGTGTCCTGAAATCAAACAGACTAGGTTATGTAAGCACAGCGAACCAGCATGAATCTTAATCCTGTGCACTCTAGTATTACTGGTATTGTCTAAACTTGAGTGTCTAGTTAATTGGCAGCCAGTCTCATCACATGGCCAAACAAACAGGCCTTTTGTTGTTGTGAACCACTTACACTTGTACAAAGCTCAGAGCTGCTTAATGTGTGAATGGCTGCTCTGTGAAAACGTTGAGAATATCCAAATAAACTCACACATATGCAGTTAGGGATTAGTCTTGAATGTTGGCACACATGCATTGCTGCAAGGAATTTTCTCTTAAGTCCTTAAAAAATGTCCTGCAGAAAGCTGCATCACTGTTACGCAGGGTAAATAGACTGGTTAAGCCTTTAAACAAACATCACGCGCTGGGCCTTTTCATTTGAAATGTCTTTGGATAATAACAGCTGTCTGTCAAACCTGTCTGTTTACATTTTAATCATTCAGTGCATGGCTCCAAATTAGCTCCTAATGTAAAAAACTAATGTATCCCAGAGTTAAAATACTTCTATGCACTTTATTTCTTAGATGACATTTCCCAATGTCTATATTCAGATACCACATTAGTAGCAGAAGTTTTAAATCACGTCTTCTTTCACGTTCAGGCTGGGATGCTGAGCTGGACTGGAAGGACGTGCTGTCAGGAGGCGAGAAGCAGAGGATGGGCATGGCTCGCATGTTCTACCACAGGTAAGGAGAAGCAGCATCGTTGTTGTCAGCCATTATGCTGAGGCCAGGTCATGTGACACGTCTGGAGCGTTAACCACCAACTGACTCAAACATTAAACCTGTTTTTAGCAGGCCAGCCTCACATATAGCACTGTCTAATGGTCAGATCAGACATCACCCTTATATTTTATATGCATAGACATTGCATTTCGATACAGACATCCCCCCACTCTAAAAACTATTTGAATTTACTTTTGTGATTCCCACTTTTGTAATCTAACGCCATCATCAGGTTAAAATTTGACATTGATATTCCCCTTAGTATGCTAACATTTGCTTATTAGCAAGCTGTGGCTAACACGCTAAACTAAGAAGGTCAACAAGGTAAACATCATACCTGCTAAATGTTTGCATGCTAGCATTCTTAGCATATTGCCGCGCTGGCGTTAGCATTAGGCTAGTAGCTAGCATGTTGGTGCACTCTTGCTTGCCTTATCTATTCCTTAATTATTGTTAACTATATATTATTTTAGCGATTTTCATAAGGCTAACACTTAAAAGGTTAAGATAAATAGTTGGTTGTCTGAAAGTCTTTGTGCACATGTAATTCATCAGTAGATTATATGAACTTTAACATAAGTTATTGAACAGTAGAATCAATACTTACATAGTCAAATAATGTAAAATAATAGTCTTGTTTTTCCTGTTTTTATGTATGCGAATGCAAACATTTTAAGTGTGCCTTTTAATGTAGTGTTACAGTAAATGTTAACTACTTGCAGATTATTAGATCACTCTACTGAAATCAATAATTAAACAGCCCATCCCTTTGTATATCAGGCCTAAATATGCACTGTTGGATGAGTGCACCAGCGCTGTGAGCATTGACGTGGAGGGAAAGATTTTCCAGACTGCTAAGGACTCCGGCATCTCTCTGCTCTCCATCACACACAGACCCTCCCTGTGGTAAGACACATCTCACGCAAGAGTTTCTAGTGTATAGGATACACACTACATTAAGAAATGTGATACCTCTCTGCCAAATTTAAATACTTCCTCTCCGCCTCCAGGAAGTTCCACACCCACCTGCTGCAGTTTGACGGTGAGGGAGGATGGCGTTTTGAGCAACTGGACACTGCGACACGCCTCTCCCTCACCGAGGAGAAACAGCGACTGGAGACTCAGCTGGCCGGCATTCCCGAGATGCAGCATCGCCTCAACGAGCTCTGCAAGATCCTGGGAGACGACTCTGTTCTCAAAACATCCGAGGAGTGAGAGAGAGAAAGAGAGACAGAGGGGGGGAGGGAAGGGGGAAGAGGCCCAGAGGGGAAACGAATCAAAAGGGTAGAAGAAGAGGAGAAGAAAAGTGGGGGAGGAGGAGAAGAAAAGGCAATGAACGAATGATTTGTTAGTCATTTTCAGGCTTTCTTTTTGTTTTCTCTTGCTTATTTAGATTTGTTTCTTTAGCTTCGAGCCTTGTACCATAAGCACGATAGCTCTTAATAACAGTCCTTTCAGCTTTTTATTTTCTCCCCTCTCTCGTCTTTTAATCTCTCTTTTGACCCACTTAATGCCGAGGAGTGGAGGCGAAGAGAGTGAAGTGGATTCAGTATTATCACCCCTTCTCACACACATCGACTGCGTACTGGGTTGTAGTTTTTAAAACGTTTGGTTTCATCTTTTTCAAGATCAATTTGCCACAGTTCAAAGTGGCAAAAACAGAATAATCAACCAAGATAATTTATTTGTTTTGTAGCACTTTACTCTGCTTCTAGAGGGCTGTTTCCGTTTGTCGAACAAGGTGATAGCTGCATTTTAGCTGGAAAATGTTTTAATCTAGAACCACTTTATAATATCCAAAGCAGTATTCCACGGCCAGTATACCGGGTCGTGCAGGATCGTCATTTGTTATAATTTAGCAGTATATTTGAGCTTTTACTGACCTTAATGTGACCTCTTGGTGTTGAGAGGTCAGAAGAGACTATTTTTCAAAATGTCACTATGCCTTTTGTTTGATTTGGTGTACCTAACCGCTGTACAATCCCTTTTCTTATACCTCACCTCACTCTTGTTAGGACCCTTGAACCGCTCATATAGGCTCAGTTGCAGACAACAAAGAAAAAGCTAATCTAGGATCTGTTATTAGAACGATCAGTGACGCAGGTCTGACTCCAAAACTATAGGTTTCTACTTTATTCAACAAATACAATGAGTTTAAGAGGCCTTCAAAAAAACGAGCCTGTTAAGCTGCAAACTAGCATAATGGGCTATCCCAATATGCTAATTTACTTCAAGGAGATTCCATATTAATTTGATGATGGATGACGCTATATTGCTGTGCTCCCTCTTTTATTTGTCCACTTTTTAGAATGGATTATCTTTCAATATCATTAAGTGTGTTTACATGAATTTACATGTTTTAGATAATACTAAATATTATGTTGAAATGCTTGTTGGTTCTAGAGCTAATATGAACAGTTAAAGGAGCTTTCATTTTCAGCTCAAGGAAACTTCGGTAAATTTGCTTGCATACAGGAACATAACATAATTTAGCCTCCATGTTTGTTGACAGAAACTTATCTTGAGGTTGTGATACTGTGAAATAGTTGTTTGCTACATTACAAACATCATTTGTTTCTGCTGGATATGGTATAAATTGTGTGCTCTGGTGGTTCTAAGCTGTGGTTGGGGCTGCTTTTACAATTTGTCCCTTTTGTGGGTCAGACCTGTGTCCTAACGAGTCAGCAAAAGTACACAAGGCTGTTTGTCCTCCCAGATTGTCCTGAGTGAAATAGAACAGGGTATCTTTGATGTTTCTGCTCTTCATTTATAGACTTTCAGATTTCACCAGAGGCACGCAGAGTTCGATTTTCCAGTTTCTATAATTGTAATTGGGCATAGAGCTTGGCAACAATTATAAAGTATCATATTACAAAACCAATCAAATGTGTGAAAGCACAAAAATATTTGGTGAAATCTTAATGTCTTTATCTTGATATTTTTAGGCTTGCGTAAGCTGGTGTTTTGTTAACAAAAAATTGACAATCAGTCACATCATTAGTGGTATATGAAGAAGTGCACAGCTCTATTTTAAACTGGCTTGTGATTGTCTGTAGAAAAATAAGTAAACAACTAATCTTTTAAGGTTTAAAGCTTGAACTGCATCACCCTCCCTCACGTCTTTTATTAGACAAATAAAGGCTACAAACAAGACGGCGCTGGGGCTTGAGCCAAAGCGCTACATCTTTGCTCCATTCAGATTTTGCCACCTCCCCTTTTGGCTTTTAGTTTACAGTTCAAGAAAAAGGACGTAATATCAGTTGGATGCAGCCCTGTTATACTCAGGATTAAGGTTGCTAGGTTCCAGAAGGATAGTATAATGTGGAACCCCGCTCCCCCCAAAAAACGTGACTGGTGAAGAAAAAATTGAAATTTCAATTCATCCCCTTAATATCTAAAGGGGAAAGTCACTGGATTGCCCACTGATTGTCTTATCTGGATTGCAAATAATTACACTTGCATTTAGTATGGAAAAGAGCATCATAGGCATTACTGTGAGTCTTTTCAACAGCATTCTGTACTGCTGTTCCTGACCTGAAATCAGTTATCTGCTTGTCAGTCAGTCAGTCAGTCTCTGTTGACAGGAGGCCAGACGAGCCGCTGAATGAAACGGAGTCTGACAAGTATCACTGGCACAAGAGGTCAGCTAAAGAGCACGTAGTGTCTAACATTCATAGGCAAGTAAAAAGTCTGAAATACTACTTTTTTTTATCTTGAAAGGATGTTGTCACAAACTATGAGGTGCTGTATCTTATTATATTTTATTTTCCTTCTTTATAGATTCTTTTTTTTGGTCAAAATTGAAGGTTTTCATGAATTTGCTTACGGTTTGAGTTGACTAATATGGTGTGTTTTGTGCTGCATGTTCTCTCAAAGGATTACCAATTAGTTTTAATTTAATATATGGCTAAAATTAGGCTAATTTGACACACAACAACACTGAGCCTAGCTGAGGCTAAACTATTTACATTGAAATCACTTGCTCTAGAATCCTGTGCACAGGACATGTCATCTTGTTTGTTAATATCTTTCAAGGGGCTATGATCAGAATTCCTATATCATCAATGGGCAGACCTGACAAATATATAAAGTTAGCAGCTAGCTAGCTAGTGAACAAGACAAGTGTAACATTAAGCTAGCAGCTAAATGTTCAGCTGTTATTGTTAAACATATATTGGAAATATATGACTTCAAACTTAAATGTAATGTTACTACATATTTTCAAATGTGTAAAAATGTCACTCTTTGCTCAAATGTTTGTAATAGCCACTTAAAAGGATTTTAACAGTTAGCATAACGTTAATGCTAGCTTGTGTCTGCTGCCCCCACGTGGCCAAACATCGTTATTGCAGGCCAGTAACTTTTAATTTGTTCCATGACTGAAGTTAATTCTAAGCCAATTGCAAGGTGGAGGGAAAGTCTACATTGACTTCATATTTTAATATGGCACCTCATAAATTCTTACTGCTTTAAGAATCCAGTTAAGATAGCTTACTGACCACTGAGGTTAGGCCTTTAGTGCCCTACTACTCTTGACCTAGTCTATATACTGTAATGAATTCCTCACTAACACATTTTCATACTAAAAGTTTATTATTTTGTCTGCCCTTGTGTTATTAAGAGATTGAATGTATCTATGATGTTTGATAACGAATCTTTAAAGGTTATGAAGGAAATGAAAACATGGGTCAGCTCATACAAGATTGCTTTGTGTTTGATAAATGATGATTTTATAATTGTGTTGATCGTGCATACAATTATTTTATAACCACATTGAATTGGGATTTACTGTACATGTGGTGTGTGAACCGGGACACTGGGAAAGTGAAAATGTTGGTGTATGACAGAAAGATGAGATCAAGGGATTACCATGAGTACAGTCGTTCTCGATAACTACACTTTGTAGTTACTGCATAATTACAGTATGCAATCAAAACCCATATATATATATATATATATAAACTATTTTATATGTTTAATTCCTGGAACAGTAGCTCAGACTTCCGTTTTTAGGATCTCATTGTGCATGTGTAGGAATCTATATTCTTTAACCTTAGAACTAAGAGAGGTACATCGGCATAAAGGTCATCTGTTCAAAAATCATGTGCAAAGGTCACTTTATGTTAAAAGATGAAGATGTATTTTCTTGTAAATAAACCAATACAGTGCAACCTCGAGAAAATGGGCCCTGTGTGTTTGTTCACCATAACTTAGTTTCTAGAATATAATGTAAACTATTTAAAGTTTTAAACTATCAAAGTATTGGTATAACACTTAAATTACTACCGTTTTAGTAAAAATAAGGCCTTCAATCTTTTCCATTGTATATGTATTAATGTATTTTCCGAACAATAACAAATGGTACACTGCTGCTACAAATAGTAAGTATTATTGAAGAGGGATTCAGCTCTGAGTTAGTAAAGCCATCTCCTGGTTCAATTTTCTTTGACTCCCACGCTGCAGTAATTCAAGGTGACCACAAGATGGCATCATAGCCCAGGAGCCCTGATCATTCATTACAAATGCTGATTTGCATACACCTCAGTGTGTCATCTTGTAATTTGAATAGGAAATATCAGGAGGAACCACGCAAACAGTGCAATGCATTGTATTGCTAGATTTTTTTATGGCTGAAAAATTATAATGTGAGGCCTCAGACCGCAGAAATCTTATTGGAATAAACTGCATGTTATGTATCAGATATCTGATATAAAACAGGCAGAGGAAGTTTGATAGTGCATATAGCAGCTCTATGGCAGTCACCTAAGCGGGTACAGAGTAAAACAAGATACCTAACTAAAATATTAAATTCCAAATAGATAACACAGAAGTGACAATAAATGTGCTTCATAACGTATACACAAGAAGGGATGCATAAAAAAAGTCTGAATTTAAACATTGATTAATGCATATTATAAATACAGTTGTATACATTCCTTTTTATTATTATTATCGTTGTTTTCATTATTATTATTATTATCAGACTCTTGTCGCAGGTCAGGTTGTCCCCTCTCCTGATTGGTGGAGCTCAGGGGGAGGGGGAGGAGTCTGGTGACGTCCTCAGTCTCGAGAGTCACACGCCAAGTGGATCCCAGCTCTTCTCCACACACACATGCGCCTCTCTCTGCGGCTTAATGACGATGCTTCTGAAGAGGTGACCACCGCCGGACCCCGAAGCACATTTCCCCGGCAATGGCAAACAAATAAACCCGGCCTGAACCAGCTGCTGCATATCCGAAAACATGGCGAGGAGGAGGTGGTGAGAGCTCAAGACAGAAGCTTTCCTTGGACGGAGGCGAGCACACGTCGCTCCCTTGTCTCGTAAGAGGATAAAGAAAAAGGGAAAGCGAGCTATATAAAGGCGGACTGTTTGTACTATCCACCGGCCACACCATGAGCGGAGGGCCGGATGAGAGCTCGGTGCGCGTCGCCCTGAGGTAAGGATGCAGACCCTCCTCTCTCCAAAGATGCTTACACCTGCTACAACAATGCACATGCTATTCCTGCCTGTATTCCTGCTCCACCCTCCAGTATTGACTACACATTCAGTTCAAACACTCCATTCTACCTGTCCCTCTCCAGTGCATCCATTTGTATTCTTTTATCCCCAGATTCATTCAAAACAATACCCCTTCTTGCCAAAATGTGCTTTTATTTTGAAGCTACATGTCCTCCTTTCAGTGCCAGGAGCTTCACTTTAATTCCCATTGCCTGGACACATACACCAGGAGCCTATGATAAGATGAGCTTCTTCTGTTAATACCTGCACTGCATGCTATAGATTTATTAATGAATATCTCAGCTTCTAAGGATTAGGCTAAGGGAAAGCCTGTAACTCTCCAGTGTGTTGTCCTGTCTACAGGAGACACACTATCCTCTATCATTTTTTAAAATAGAGGACAATGACTGGTATATACACATTTCTATTAATTTATTGGCTCATTAACAACAGGGACAGTCTACCATAAATGTATTGCACCATGTAGCACAATGCTCATTCCCATCAGCCGTCCCTGGGTTCCTATATACATACACACACTATAAAATCATATGTCCACAAACATGAATAAATACACCTGTACACTTACAATTATGGTATTCTTATTATCTGCACAGTCATCTTTTGATTAAGTAAATAAATAAATAAAAGGTCAGATAATACAAATAAAAGTCAATCCCCATCAGAGAGGATTATTTCGACCTTAATGACAGCATGACTAACAGCCTTTCAACTGTTTTTCACATTAGCTTGAACCAACTAAAGGAACACACTGTCTTATATTTAGAGAGCAAAGTTAGTCGTCCAATGTGTTTATAGGGTGTCACAATTCACCATAAGCAGGAGAGGAGCTCAACAATGTAGTATCTTTAAAAGAAAAGTGGCCACGAACGAAAAAAGGTGAATTTGTGGTGTGTTTTTAGTTGAGTTGCGGTAACATTAGCAGCCTGACCTTTGCCCCTTTGGCCAATCCATGCTGCCACTAACACAGCAGACAAGCGGAGATAGTCCCAATCTGTACACTTCTTATATCAGCGTTTCTCAGAAGTGTTCTGTGTGTGTGTGGAACAGTAGGATTTCAGACATCAATGATAGGGCGGCAGCTCAAGTAGGTGGCAGGTGCTTTTCTGTGGCGGAAAGACAATCTGAAAAACGTCATGTGAACTGGATCAGTTGAAGCAAGAGGACAAAAGCTTGCTGCTATCATGTTTCTCTTCCCTCTCTCTGCCTCGCTTGCTATTGTGCATTCAGACTTTGACCCAGAACTGTTTACTGTGCCAACTCAGTTTAAAAAGTGTCATAGATAATCTGACACAGGATATCCTGTCATTTACTCAGGAGTCTTAAATAGGATTTAATTTGTCTTTCTTCCTTAATAACTCAATATGGGAATAAAGTTGCAGGCTGTTGAACACACAACATACACAACTACACACACGGCAGCAGAAAGATGTGTGTGTCTCTGAATGGAAACTACCTGCTTTTGCATTTTCTTAGAAAGCTCATTCATTATTCACAGAGCTCGGTCGTCTTGTTTGCTAGTTGGGTTTCCACCGTTAGTCCTATTCATGGTCAGTGGAGTATGCATTGGTTTGTTCTTTCATATATTTGTCTTTCTTTCTTCTATTATTCTGTTCACTCATTCATTTGGTGGGAACCTGTGAACATATTAGTTATGTATTGACCGTCAAACCTGCTGACATTGTGTTCCTTTGTTTTGACAGGAAATTGATTGTGGAAATGTTTGATTCGAGGGGATCATATTAGATTGGGTAGGTCAAATGACTTTAAATTCTGGCTTTAATGTGAAAAAAGATACTAAATCCTGAGTCAGGTAGACAGTCAGCTGTTCAGAGACTCTTCAGAGGTCAGCTGTGGCACCTAAAAGTGCCTTGTCACTAATCTTTTATTTTACACACTCTCACACACACTTAAGGTGATTCACTTCCTGTCACCTAGGATCAGCTGACCTTACCTGCAAGCTCACAGAACTCCTTAATCTTCCTGTTTGCTTTGTGCTCTATTTGCATTAATGAGTTGTAGACCTTTTCGGAACGCCCAGGTTAACATTAACAATGGTATTTAGAAAGTCACACAAGTGAGCCTTCTTGTACAATACCAGAACACTATTTTTGAAAAAAAAACAATTGATCTGATAAAAAAAATCATTATACAGTCTATTGGAATGTTAAACCTAAAGCTGCTCAAATAAAAAATGTTATATGATTAAAGGAATCAAATAACTGTGTAATATGAAAAGAGTTTATAGAGTATTATCATCCATTTCTTGAGATCCCCTTAGCGTTAGAGTCTTTTATCTCATTGTTTTGTTTTGTGTCACTACTCTTATTAAAGAAAGAACTTCAAACCCACGGTTATCTAACTGCTCACCACTAAATTACAGACACTTAGCAATTAGCTCTTGAACATTGTGCAGTATTTAGCTGCTAAAGAACCAGACATTTCCATAATAAGTTGGTGGAGACCAAAACAAAGCTAAAAAAAGAAATATCAAACCTAAGAACACAGCCACAAATGAATAATGTTTCTTTTAGTCTACTAGATGTGCAACATGTAACATGATGGTGTATAGATTGGACTGCCTAAAAACAATGAAATACATAGAAGTAGAAACTATGTTTATTTTTAATGTATTTATTTATTTATATGTACCATCAAAAACTTTCAAGAAACTAGAATAAACTGACTAAAATGCTAATTCAACACCATTGGACTTCCCTGTGATAGCAAAAGCTCAAATAAATAAACACTGTAACAACACAAGTCTGCAAAAAAGGGATTTTATTTTGGTTATGGCCTAACACAATCTTTAACCATCTAATATCTTTGGATGACAGCTTAATTGGTTTTCACTTGATAGTCCCTGGAAGTCCTACCTTTGCATCTGCTACTAAATGCCTGTCTTCATCTCTTTGAAACTCACACCGCAGCTCCATGTGGGTATTTTGAGTTCTATTAATCGCCGTGGCAACATTCTAATTATTCACCATTATAGCTTGTGGTGAACCTGAAATCTCAATCAGAGGCTTTGACTGTGGGCCTCTCCCAACTCTGTAATAGTTTAGGTGTGTGTGTGTGTGTGTGTGTGTGTGTGTGTGTGTGTGTGTGTGTGTGTGTGTGTGTGTGTGTGTGTGTGTGTGTGTTCAAAGGACTACAGTCCACTCATATCTTCATCAAAACTCTCAGACATTCTTCAGCTGCTTAGCCTCAGTTGTTATTGAACGTTTTTATGGGGCTGCAAATGAATACCTAAAAAGCATTGCTTGTTGTTTTCTGACTTTTGACACTTTTATTTGAAATTAGGAGCTAATTTGCCAAATGAATGTCATTCATACCTAGGCCAAGGAGGTTTTGGTTTGTTTGTTTGTCAGCTGGATTACGCAAAAAGGACTTGCCTGATTTTTTTATGACACTTGGGGCTAGGGTGTAGCTTTGGCCAAGTAAGAACACATCAAATGTTGGAGCATATTCAAATCACAGGGCGTACATTTAGCAATATTATGGAAACATTCTTGGCAGAGGTCTGTGTGCTCACAGACAGTTGTTTTTGATTTATTACGGAAAAAAAACAAGGTTTCCTCACAAAGGAGATGAAGATAAGTGTGTCACGAAGGGATTGTATACATTGTAACATCTTTGTATGTCTTTGCCTAAGACTTTGCCATGCAGTCTGTCTAAACTGATCTTAAAACTCAACATCAGGCAAATATAATTTTTGCTCTGATTATCCCTAGATGTAATATTTCATTGCTTTGAGCACCACAAAACTAATTATAGAAATATAAAATATATATATCCTTAAGAAGATCTATATGACTAGATTCTGCTAGTCGTAACAAAAACATTGTTTAAATACACGTTTAATAGAAAGAACTGGAGCCTTTAAGCGAGATTCAGCCACTTTTGCCGTTATGTGTGGTGAAAGGAGTTTTATTTAATGAAATAAAACCTGTATTTGAATGAGAAGGAAAAACCCCCGATGTGACTGTCTGATGAGGTCAGGTGATGAGTCAGGGTGCTGGTAGCAGTGTGAACTGGGCATAAAGAGTTGTTGTCTGCTGCCTTGTGGGCTCAGATGTTCCTTTCTGTTTCTGCTGAGTCACCCGTTGCTTTACCTAAAGCTTTTTGAAGTGAAACTCAACACTAAACCAAAAATGTGATTACAGTGGATTAGACTTTGGTAGGTAGGAATGAAACTCCGGGCTTGGTTGACAGTGACGATGCACAGGGATCTGTAGCCTCCCTGGGGATTGATTTGATTGGCTGATTGTCAGGAGTAGTGATGTCAGCATGTGATTCGATTGGCTATGTTTCCGGGAGGATGAGGTCAGCAGTATGGTGCTGATTGACTGACTCATCTCCTTTTTTTTTTTATACCAGCATCTCCTTATTTCCTGTTTGCTGATCATCCCTGTTCGTCAGCAGAGGGGTAATGCTGCTGACGTTGACTTTATTTATAGTTATTTTAAGCATCCGTTCCTTTTGCCATAATCTGAGAAGGTCCCCAAAATAATGAGTTTTTCTGCGTGGTTGTGTGTATGCAGCTAATGCTCCCACCTTGAATAATGTCTAGGTTTTAGCATGCCTGTGTGTGCATGACGAGCCCACTCTTTCTCAGGCTGTCACTGTAATCGCAGTAATGGGACTGAGAGCAGGAGTCTAACATGATCTGTCACATGGGAGGAGGCTGACAAAGCCCCCCTGTGTGTGTATTTCAATAGGTATATGTTTATATAGACTGTTTATACCCCTTTTCATCTCTAAGAACGTTTCTGAACTGTATCTTATCAATCTAAACTCCTCACATCAAACAATGCTAGCTAGAGGCTTTGTGCATGGAAGTGTGCTTAAGAGCTGCTGGGTTTTCTTCTATATCTGTAGTCATTTGTAGAAATACTGGTTGTCTGTTAGTCACAGTTTATATGCTCCTGCTTGTTCTCTTGTAGTGTATCAGCCAAACACTGAATTCCATAACGCTTATTGTTTGTTCCTTTTGTCCAAAAAAGTAAACTAAAAAGTATTTCATTTTCACCTTATTAAGGCATTTCCCTTTCAACAGGAGAGCTTTACATATCCTGAAATTACACATTTAGAATTTCCTTTCCTTTAATTTGGAATCCTCTCATTCCTTTCCAGTACTTTATTTAGTATGTTAGCATAAACAGCAAGCTAGCAGATTTAGCGTTTTCTTGTATCAATTACTACGCAACTCTGGTAGGGTTAGGGTTAGGGTTAGGGGTTAACCTAACCTAACCCTAACCCTATAAGCCAACTAGCTGTCTGATGACTAGCGCTAACATTTTGCTCAATATGGAACGTAAACATGTTTCCAGTTTTTATTTTTTAACATCGAATACAATGTATTGTAGCTTATAGTATAAATTCTCTCATACTAATTCTTTAAATAAACTTTGCGTGTCTCACTGTAAACGTTTTTTGCCATTTCATTGTTGGTTTTGACCTCCAGGTCAACCAAAATCCTTCCTTGAATGTGTATTCATTTAGGTAATAAAACAACAAAAACCTGTGTGTTTTAATGTTAAGGGCCTGGTGACAAATTCTGTGAAACTCACTCATGTAAAAGTACCTCTGTAATCCTCTCCACTCTGGTACGTCTTAGTGTTTTTACTTCTTAGAATTCCCTCCAACTGGTTGCATCTGTCATGGCAGATTAATGTGTTGAGGAGTTATTATGCACAGGTTCTCACTTGGTGCCCTGGGGGCCCATGATATGTGTGGGAGTGAGTGTGTTCCAGATTTGATATTTGCTATTAGTAATAACTCTTTGCTTTGCAACAAATATATACAAGAGGAAAATAAACCAAATATTATTCACAGCTCAAAATCACCAACAAATTCTGAATTGCACTTTGAAGTTGCATGAAGGGAGGTTTTGCATGTGTGTGTATGAGTGCATGATTGTGCACCTTTAGGAAGTGGCAGGGTTATATTTCCTGGTGCAACAGCCTGAGGAGCCTGCGTGTGTCACCCTAGAAGGTGGATTAGCCGCTGTAAATCCACAGCGCTGAAGGGCAGCCCTTATTCAGCCAGGAGAAACAAGTGTTTTGGGTTAAACCACGGAGTGAAGCCTGCCAGATCATAATCACAGCTAAAGTCAGTCACACTAATAACACATCAGCAGGGTGCGCTTCACACCTAGCTTATCCCTCACCTGTTTACCGTTAGCAGAGACACGTGATACCAGAACTTGTATCATGTGAATATGTAAACATTCAAAAAATGCTCCAAATAGAGGTCTATTGTGCCACAACACACCTCTATTTTGAGGAACATCATTGTTGTAAGGCTCAGATGTACTTGACCTTGTTTTATTGAAGAACACCATCAGAAATGTAATGATACACAACATTGATTAAAAGAATTGCAGCAGCTTTTGAATTTGCACTTACCATTTCACACACCATACCATATCTCTTAAAGACAGCCACTGGGTTTTTTTACTTTTTAGTACTCTATTTAAAATCTATCTCAAGTTTGGTGCAAGACTGGTGTCTAATACCACATTTAGTTGCCAGTGCAAGTTGTCACAATTCATTTGGCTGGGGTATGTTGGAAAGTAAAAAGAAATGGCTAACGGGGGTTTAAAAAACCGAGTTTCTGAAGGCTGAACCAGTGCAGTCTGATCATGTGAAAGACCGTCATTACGCCGACAGATAATAAGTCTGTTTGACTGGATGGACTGTGGTGGCCTCCTAATGTGGAGATTATCATCAGTGTTTTGTCTGGGCTGTAGCCATTACGTCTATTCTCTTTTATCTCAGACAGTCATTTTGCTCTTTAGACTCCCCGTCTATCACTCTATATATGGAGGACCCTGGGGATATCACACAAAACAAACATTGTATCACTCTGTGGTCATGAATACAACCAGAAACACCGGGCATTTATTCTACATGTGGGTACCGTTATACAGCTTGTTCTCTTAGTTGGTGGATAGGACATTTTCTTAATTCGACATCTCATATTAAAGTCTATATTTCGTTACACTTCTTTGAAGTTACCGATGGAAACAATGACCCAGTGACTTCATACTTTTGCTGTAAGCAGCAGTGAGTGCCTCCATTGTTACACTGGATTACAGTAATAGCCTTCTTTCAAGTTTTTGGAAGGTAGCCAAAGGGGTTAATGCAGAATAACTCCTGTCACGCCCTAAAACATTTACCAATTTTGAGTCACCTCAGAAGACCAAACCAAACTGACGAATACAGTTTGACATGTAAATCTGCACTAATTCATATTTTCATGTTCACAATAAGTTCATTTTTGATGTTTCATGCCAAAAGTTATCACCTGATACTACAGGTCCGCCCAGCTATACAAAGTATTTTAGCGTTTTTTAGCTCATTGTTTTGGTTTTACTGCCTGTAATTTCTTCTCCATTCTACTGCTCTTATAAGATTCATTTTCAGATGCAGAGGTCAGCTGTTATAGCAAAAAAAAAAGGCAACCTGCTACTGTATCTTAGCAACGTATTTAGCAGCCAATATTAAGCCAGCTGTTTTTTTACAGGGTCTAAACAAGACGTATTTGCAAACTCATAATTGTAAGGATTAAACTGAGCAAATAAAATGTTTATACAAATGTTTTTATTTCTTGGCATTCCATGTGTTTAAATTCTCCCTTGAATTACAAAAAATCTATAAAATATATTATACTATTTTAATTAATGGCCCAAAATGGACAGATTGCTAATTAGAAAGTACGAAATATGACAATTGTGGACTCGGTAAAATACGTGAACTTTTTCACCAACTGATGTATTTTTCCACTCATTCTTAGTTAATCAAACACTATATAACATCTTAAGGGCCAACTAGGGCTCAGAATTCATTTTTTCAGTGTTAAAAAAACCTGATTTGGTTCAATGAAAGATGGACTTAGTTACCATGTATCAAATATTGTATAAAATGGGGCAATTCTGCTGTCCATAACACAAAGCTGACAGTAATTCTCTGCAGGTGTTCGGTTACTGCAGGTAGGACTGAGTTTCTCCTCAAGCCTTTGGTCCCTCCCTGGCTTTTCTCATCAGGGCTGTAATCCCAGATGGAGTCTGCTAAATAGCTGTGTTCTGATGTCACACACACACACTCACACTCACACGCACACACAAACACTCAATCTGACTGTCCTTTCAATCCATGCAGAAGTCCTATAGAGTCTTGCAGTGATGAATGTGAGAGTCATGGAACACATTATGCATGCAAAGTGCCACATTGTTACACACACACACACACACACACACACACACACACACACACACACACACACACACACACACACACACACTCACTGCCTAAATGATGACGATGCTGTTATGAGATTCTTTAAGTGTCTCAATAAGTCGGTTTAATATTGACTGTAGGCACCGATATGTTCAAATATTTCCTTGGTCTGCCTCCAATATTGCCACTTCCTCTTCAGGTGGACAGTAAGTACAGTGATGGGAGGCAGAGTTGCATTATGGGAGGAAATGATGTATAACAGCGTGTTTATTTGCACTAAAGTAAGAGTGATTCCTTAATGAAATCCAGAGCGGGAATGTTTACCCAGAGCTCTCGAGTGAACAGTGAGGGCACTGTACTGTGCACGGTGGCTGCTGGAGAGTGTGCTGGCACTGCGTGGTCTCACACACACACACACACACACACACACACACACACACACACACACACACACACACACACACACACACACACACACACTGCACAGTAGCAACACCCATCTGTCTGCTGCTCAGCTAGATTTTTAATCTCGTCAAATTAATATAAGACACATTTTGGATCAGGCTTTCGATGCGTGCACAGACAGCTCTGCCTCTTTCTTACACACACTAACAAACACACCAGAGTTGCCCTTGGAAATCTGGAAAGTTTGTGAATTAATAAAAGTGTATTTAAAGCTTCAAATATCTTTGAAATTGACATTGGAAATGTGCATGAAAGGGTTTGATTTGTAGCCTTGTTCCCAGCATAGCTTCATATTGTATTACGGTATGTCATCATTACACTTCATTTAGCTGACTCAAGCCTTGCAATAAGTGTGCCTGTAGGGGCAGGGGGGGAAATAGTACTTACTTAACCCCAAATTGCTGCTGTAGGCGTGTCTACAGTATTGAAGTGCATGGAAGTCTCTTTGGATAAAAGCGTCAGCTAATTGACATGTAATGCCATATAAAATTGCTATGTCAGTTGGTCTTAGTATGTTAGTTTAAATTGATAACTTATGGATATATTACTCAATACTTCAAATGCTTCAAAAGGTGACATAAAGTTAGATGTGTAGTTTTGACATAAAGGATTTCAGGTTTTTTTTCTTGCCAATATCTCCTTTTATAAGCGCCAGCATTGAATAATAGAACAAAATGTATTTCCTCAAGCAGATGAAGATTTGGTAGAAATCAAACTTCATAAAAAAATCTGTCTCTTTCTTTGTCTACCAGGATCCGTCCTCAGTTGGCCAAAGAGAAGATCGAGGGCTGCCACATCTGTACCTACGTGATGCCCGGCGAGCCGCAGGTTTTTCTGGGTAAGGACAAGGCCTTCACCTACGACCACGTGATGGACATGGACTCCCATCAGGAAAGCATCTACACCAACTGCACCGAGAGTCTCATCGAGGGCTGCTTTGAGGGCTACAACGCCACCATCTTTGCATACGGACAGGTTGGTTTCCTGCATGCTCCTACATCAACAAACACACACATTGCATCACTCCAAGGGAGGAGACGACTCTCCAGTGAGGTTAATGGCAGCATGTGATATGAAGCTTATTTTACTTCATATCATCAGACCAGCTAGGAGGGAGTGAACAGGCCTCACAGTCAATACACGATCAGCTGACATGTTCCAACCTGCCCTCACAAGCGCAGCTTTATATTGGCTCTGATAGATTAGCCTCAGAGGTAGAAAGGGAGTTTATTACCCATAGTAAAGTGTGAGCAGATTGCTTCACCAAATACCAGAGCAGGGAACTCAAAAGAAAAGTCAAAACATCATTCAGAGACATTACACAGATAAAACACTGACCTCCCAATGGATAGCTTTACAGTTACAGGTTATCTTGTGGGGGGGGGGAATACCCTTTTTTTACATATCTATTCTTTCTATTCTAATATCTCTATGGTTCATAATAGCTTACATTTTTTTTACACTTCATTTCTGTATGGATTAAGCAACTAAAACTATTGAGCTTTTTATGTGCCAATTGTGTTTCTTTCCACCTCCTGTTTTTATGCTAAGCTAAGCTAACCCACTTCTTGGTGTAGCTTCAAATTAAAGAGACAAACATGATAGTGGAACCAATCTTTTGGCAAATATGCGTATTACAAAAATAATTGAACATTTTTTTAAATAATCTATCGAAAATAAACTGAAGTATACTATATTTGTACACCAATGCATAGCAGCAAATTGAAGGGAAATGCATAGCTCAAGTCTACTTTAAATTCATATTTCCATATACTGCTTGTTCTGAGATGACTTTTTTGGACCCTGTGATAGAGTGAAGGCCTATACAGACGTTATGGAACAAGCAAAAGCAGGTGCAATAACATCAAAGCCTAATCATGTATACAAAATAGTTTCTATAAGCCTTTATTGCATAAGACTGAAAAGAGAGTAGACTTCCTGCTTGACATTTCCCACTGCAGCGGTTAAACTTCCCCTCCTCTTAATCGTCCCCTCGGCTCTTCTGCTTTCTCTTCATTATTCTCTCCTCACATTGTTCCTGCAGCCCTTGTGTTCCTGTCAAAGAGCCTTTCACAGTGCACCGTGGAGGCCTCACACACACATGCACACACAGGAGCATGTGCACAAACTCAGCACTCAAACAGGTGTGGTCTCACACTGTCTTTCTCTCTCTCTCTCTCTCTCATATATCACACACACACACACACACTCTCACACACTCACACTCCTGTCAGGGTCTCTTTCAGTTGTTAGACGGGGAGCAGAGGGGGATGATGTGTGGATTTGAGCTCAATGTTGCATTCTTCTTGTTGTCACCACGGCGACAACCACATCCCCTCTGACCCCCCTAAGTTAGAGAAACCACTCAGAGATGCACTCCAACATCTCAGAATTTAGTTAGTTCAATGCATGAATGAAAACGGATGCAATCATCTTCAATTACAATACTTTATTACAAATACGACGGTTTGGTTATTAACTGATTTTGTGATGAATAAGACTCAAATATTTGTTGTGTTTTTTAACCCCATCACGATTAAAAACAAGCAAAAAAATATGCCAAACCCTTGTGGTTATTTTATTGAATGACAAATAATAATATAAACAAAAATACTTTAGAATAACAGAATCCTTAAAAATAACTAACTTAAATTAAACCAAAAGATGCATGTGGTCCTTGAATAAAAATGCCATACTGTTAGCAGAGTAATGAAAAGTACTGAAACATTTTTTAAATTACCATAGCCTAAACCGTTTCCATATCTGTAATTCATCTAAATAAATGCTGTAAGCGGACTGCCTGGTTACTATAATAAAATGACTTTACCAACATCTGTGTAGGGATGATTCTGTCCCAAGCTTCTCGATCCATGTCAGCAGTTTATATGCTGAAAAAACATGAAACCACATTACGAACACTCGTAATCAGAGCTGACATTATGGATGACTCAGTCTTTTCCTCCCCGTCCAGACAGGGTCGGGGAAGACGTACACCATGGGAACCGGCTTCGACGTCAACATCGGAGAGGACGAGCTGGGTATCATTCCCCGCGCCGTCAACCACCTGTTCAGAGGCATCGAGGAGCGCAGACAGACTGCCACCGAGCAGGGCCGGCCTGTTCCCGAGTTCAAGATCAACGCACAGTTCCTGGAGGTGCAGACACACACACACACACACACACACACACACACACACACACACACACACACACACACACACACACACACACACACACACACACTGAGGAAGATAAAGAAAATGCACTAAAATAACCTAGAAATAGATGCAATTACCAGCACTTAAATCATCCAGGCCACTTAAGCTCCATTAGGGAGATAGAGCATGCAGACAGCTAGAGGTCAGAGGTCAGCGGAGGGTGTAGGGGTTTCAGGGTGTTAAAGCGTCCAGATGACCCTTCAGCCATTAAACTGTCATTAATCTGTCTCAGTGATCAGCTCCTGGCTTTATTTTTAACCGCCAACGAGTGTCTGCTAGCAGCTGGTGACGAAGCAGCTGAGGGGGAAAGATGAGTTTTAGATGTGAAGCAAAATAACAGATGTTATAATGACACCGACTGTTCTTGAAATAATATGTGTGCTTTATTCTTTCTGTTATTTATTAATCCTACTTTTCAGTTATACAACGAGGAGGTGCTCGACTTGTTCGACTCGACGCGAGACATCGAGGCCAGGAAGATGCGATCCACCATCAAAATCCACGAGGACGCCAGCGGAGGCATCTACACCGTGGGGGTCACCACCCGCACCGTCGCCACTGCAGAGGAGGTCAGCTTTAACACTCGGGAATAATAGTTTTGCTCTGACCCCATCTTTGTCCATCTTTTTTGGCTGTATTTACTTAGAATTGGATTTAGAAAGCATTTTTTTATCATTATAACCCCATCAGAATAAACTTGTTCTGAAATGGATTGATACTCTGCTCACCTCACTATGAAATGAAAGGCTTCCCCACTAAGGACAACACCAGGCACACGGAATTATGAGATATAGCCATAAACCTGTTTAATATCTCAATATTACTTGTTATAGGTAAACAAATGTGTACTCGGTTCCCATACTGTCCCTTTTAGTATACTGCTTGAATATAACTACTTGTTGAATTAAAACAACTAGAAATACATTATTTTCAAAGTCAGTTTCTCACAGCACTGAAAAACTACATTTTTAATATTCAGTAGCAACCACTCCATGTTACTGGAAAAGCCTCCACATAAATCTCTGTGAACTGAGGCACTACTTTCTGCTGAAAAGATATTCCCTGGAAAGCTGCTGGTAGCCAGGTCTGTGGATAAATGAGGGCACAATGAGAAAAATAGACAACATATTACTAAATTCTTCTATACAAATCTCCACACAGTTTCTATATGAATATCATCAATCAACCGGAACATTTCTGTATGTTTTGTTAAATGTCCTTCCTCTCTCCCCTGTGTATTCTTCTACAGATGATGCAGTGTCTGAAGCTGGGCGCTCTGTCTCGTACCACCGCCAGCACTCAGATGAACTCCTCGAGTTCGCGCTCTCACGCCATCTTCACCATCCACCTGTGCCAAGTTCGGGTCTGCTCTCCTGACAACGACGTACGTACTGTCACACACTGCAGTGGATCTCTGCTAATCCTGAATGTAGATTTCACTGATGTTTTGCTAGACTGAGTTGATCATCAGCTGCAATGTCATTATCGAACCTTGCTGAAGATTGTATCCCCTTAAATGTCTTCTTCTTCCTTCTCCTTCAGGATAATGAAACAGACAACCGTCTAGCCGGCGACTCGGAGATCAATGAGTTTGAGACGCTGTCGGCGAAGTTCCACTTTGTGGACCTGGCAGGTTCTGAGAGACTGAAGAGAACTGGAGCCACAGGAGACAGAGCGAAAGAGGGCATCTCCATCAACTGTGGGCTGGTGAGGAAGCTAGGAGCATGTCTGAGTTAGATATGTTATGATACACTATAAAGGGAAGTCATAATCATATACTGTACTTAATCCATTATGTATTAAATGCATTAGCCATCTTCTTATTGGGCTAGTGGTCATTCTACAGTATGTCAGTGAGTGTCAGTTCATTTTGTGGAACAAGAGAGACCCCAGGTGGCTAGAAGATGAACTGCACATGTTTTACATAGCACAATGAATGTTTCCCCTTAGATACCAAATCACAAACGTGTTGTTGTTCCTTATCTCCTCTCAGCTTGCTTTGGGAAACGTCATCAGTGCTCTGGGAGACAGGAGTAAGCGCTCCACCCACGTGCCGTACAGAGACTCCAAACTGACCCGGCTGTTACAGGACTCACTAGGAGGAAACAGGTTTGTAAACACTGTGTCCTAATATTGATCTATCCTTCACAGTGGACCACAAACCATTATATTATGTTGACAAAACTGCTTTGTGATTAAGCTGTCTACAGAAGTGCTGCCATTTGTAACCAGTAGATAGTACAGTATATACCAAAAAGGAAAAATACTAAATATCTGAATGTGCAAAGGTTTTCATGCACCCAGTGGGTAAATTGTTTCCTTAACCATGGCAAAGGACATGGCAGATTTTTTTTTAAATAAACCAATCACCTTACTTCATTTTTTTGTGTTCTCCAGTCAAACAGTGATGATCGCCTGTATCAGCCCGTCCGATCGGGATTTCATGGAGACCTTAAACACTCTGAAGTACGCCAACAGAGCCAGAAACATCAAGAACAAAGTGATAGTGAACCAGGACAAAGCCAGCCAGCAGATCAGCACCCTGAGGACGGAGATAGCCCGGCTGCAGATGGAGCTGATGGAGTACAGGACGGTAAGAAGGAGAGGAGATGGAATAAGACATAAGAGATCAAGAAATGGTTGGAAAAAAATATCTACTAATATTAATGATCCATCAGGGGAAGCGTATGGTGGGTGAAGATGGCATAGAGGGCGTCAACGACTTGGTCCACGAGAACTCCATGCTGCAAACGGAGAACAACAACCTGAGGGTGAGAGTGAAGGCCATGCAGGAGACCATCGACGCCCAGAGAGCCAGACTCACTCACATCCTCAGTGACCAGGCCAACCAGGTCCTGGCTCGAGCAGGTGGGCAAAAAAAACAACATTACAATAAGACCTAAAACCTGGGAAATGAGTAAGGAGTACTGCAATCCCGATTAACTTATCTAAATGTGAATGGCTAGTTCTTCAAGCTAGTTGCTAATGTCAGTATGTAACTTGCTCACAATGACTGTGTGCTATCATACTGAGGCTTAGCAGGTTTGTTTACAGTGTTTATTTAGTGTGAGCAATGCATGCTAACAGTTGCTTATTAGCACTAAACACAAAGTACAGTTGATACTGAAAAGGACTGGAGAGTCTTTTTATAATTGGACTTTAATAACGACCTACTGATGCAGCGAGCGCTTACTGAAATTAATGTAAAAGAAGGAGTTTAAGAATAAAGAAAAGCTTTGAATGCAAGGTATTTTATGTAACATTATTACATGGCTTAGTTGAATACTCGATTCTGATTGGTCAATTCAGAACAGGTGACACGTTGTTAATCCAGAACAGACAGACCGCTGTCAAGCACTTATTGACCGTTGTTAAGGACGCTCACATCTGCACAAACAAGTCTGTTTGATTTAACTGTATACAGTTTGGCCGAAAAGCAAACGTCGGGCTCCTGATCAGCCTGTCGGTGTTCTTTTCCCCATAATGACCGCGTCGCTGTACATTATCCCTTACATAATATATTATATATAAAGTATTTCTTCTCTGCCAATGCAAAGTCAACTTTATTATTTGAAAAGCTAAAGTGATGCCTTTTAATTCTAGGTGAAGGCAGTGAAGAGATTGCGAACATGATTGAAAACTACATTAAAGAAATCGAGGAGCTCAGGTATTTGCTGATTTGATGGTAGTATTTTATTGTTAATATTTATCCACAGCCTTTTATAGTAATCTAAACATCTGACTTTCCCCCTTTTTTAGAGCAAAACTCCTTGAAAGCGAGGCAGTGAACGAGAACCTCAGGAAGAGTCTTGCTCGGGCCTCCACGCGCTCCTCGCTGTACACCGGCCCCGCCAGCTCCTTCTCCACCGAGAAGGAGGCCAGCGACGTCATCGAGATGGCCAAGAAAAGCCTGGAGAGACTCAAGAAGAAGGAGAAGAAGAAGAAGAAGAGGTATTGTGTCCGTCTCAACCGTTCAAAACATAAAATCCACCAAAAACAATTATTGAATCTTCCAAAATTCCTTAGAGGGGAATAGAAAAACACAAGCGTTGCGAAGAAGCTGAATGGGAGACTTTGGTTGTCTTTCAACACGGGGAGGGTGTGTGAACTGGTGTGTTGTGGGTAATTATCTCCTGGCTCCCTGCATTAGGATGTAATGCAGGTGTTTATATAAGGGAATGAAGGATCAAATTAGACACGATGACAGTGAGAGCTGTTTTCGTTGATTACGGTCTGTCGAGTTCTGGCACGCTGTAGCACACTTTTTCTTACAAACCAGGAGTCCGAAATAGTTTGAATTCTAAATGAACGTTACAAAGCTGCGCAGCTCTTAGTTTATTCTGTTTAAACCCTGTATTACTGCACAGATCAAATCCAGTCGTGGCTCTGTAGGATTGTTCCCAACTCGTTTGATTGACAAACATTTCCAATAACTTTTTAGTGTTGTAAAGTCAAATGTATTAAATAGATTTGACATTTTCATCATTCATATTATTTATTGTCCATATTTGTTGGCATTAAGCCTTTAAAAAGCAACAGTAAAAGAACGGTTATCTCTCCTGCTTATTGTTTTTTTGGTCAAATCAGTTGTTGTCATCTGCTTCTCCATAAGCAGTGTTCATCATTTGAACACACTGTGTTAGTGAGAGTCTCTGCACTCCCACCATCCTTTCTGGCTGCTCTCTCACTCTCTGCCTTTCTCCTATTTTATAATATTCCCTCACTTGCCCCAACTTCTGCGGCCTGTCTGCCGTCTCCACCTCCTCCTCACCTCCACACCTCACCATCCCCACTCCCATCCCTCTGTCTCTTTGAAGACTGAGGCGATGTGAGGAGAATCACCAGCAAGCGGTTGAACACACCAGGTTTGCTACATCCCACCCAGGATCGGGTCAAATCTGAAACTGGAGCGCTGCACATGTTGTCCTTTTGTGCTTGTAATGGAAAGGATTTCAGTTGTTAACCTGCGGCCAATCCCAAATCTTCCTCCCTAAATTCCTGAATAAACTAATCTCTAACTTGTTCCGCACCCTACAGGTGGTTTACACAAATGTTAACCTGCTCTAACCTCTTCTTCTCAACCCGCTGTTCTCTCTTTTTCCTACTCACCGCACACAGCAAGATGTTGATCAGATTTTAACATAGTAGTGTCATAACCTTATAAAAGGGTTTGAAAGTAGGGCTGCAAAGGGACGGAAAGTTTCCGGTAAATTTCCAGAAAGTTTCCATGGGAAGTTAAGCTGGGGAATTTTGGAAATATTCGATGCAAAATTAAACAAAAAAACATTTTTTTTAAAGTAGAACAGAACAAGTTTTAATTATTATATTGAACAATTATTTGTTTCATTGAAGAACGAAAACAGGAATGTTGAGTTAAATGTTACTCATCTGTTGGGGGGCAACCCCACTCATTAAAAAATGAACAAAAATGCACCCCCCATCCAAAAATCCCCACAAAGTCCCATTCAAAATGTTTAATAAAAAGAGCCTTCTCCCTCCAAAAAGTCCCATTAAACATGCAAATCTTCCTTCAAGCGATTTTTACTAAAACCTTTCAGTCAACGGACTCTTCCTGGGCCTCATCAACATCCAACTCTGAGTCTTCCTCTTCAGTGTCACTGTCCAGCCTTATTGAGG